GAAGTTCACTATTGCAATTTTAGAACTTCGTGAAAACGGAACGTTACAGAAACTGATGAATAAATGGTGGTACCACAACAGTGAGTGTGTGGATACGTCACCGCCCCGGGTAGGTTGACTTAACGAATTCAACTATTTTAATATATTGTACAACTGGATTTTTTAAGACACAACAATGGTTCTCGATGAAAAACTCGGAAACTGTTAATGAGATACACTTTTTTGAATATTTACAAACTGGGTAAAAAGGGTAGATATACATTACAATAATTCTACATAACATCACTAGTAATAATGTTAATGTTTATTAATGATAGATAATAACATTAATTATGACAATAATGAACATTATAAAAAGGGTGATGAGAACAATATTTGACGTTGAAAATATTTAATTTAATTTGATTGCACACAGAATGAATAATACCAATTTTTATTACTATAATTATTATCATCGTCACACCACCACCATCGTCATCTCCATCGTCATCATCATCATTGTTTCATTTTCATTTTCATTTCAAAATACATTTATTTTCTTCCATTTGCAATTGAATAACAGAGTTCATTAAAAATGATAGGTTTGAGAAACAAAATTTGTCATCATCGTCATCGTTTTACACCTTTTTATCTGTAACGGCTTTGCTTGTATTTTAGACATTATTATAATGGTTTGTATATGTTTAATTTAGGAGTGATTGACTTTTAAGTAACTGCATATTTCATTGTATTGTCTTTGTGATTTTCGTTGAACTGTTTTTATGTTTGTGGATTGCATTGCTTTATTGTGAACGCGTGTGCCACTGATGCAAAAGTGTAGACTTCAAGTAAAGTTTTGTTTCATTTTTACTTCTCTTCCAGAGACGCTTAAACTTAACGAATCTTGGCGGTGTGTTTTATATATTAATCGTGGGTTTGTTCATCTCTATGTTCGTTGCCATCATTCAGTTTTATTGGAAATCCAAGAAGGTAGCAAAGAAGCGAAGGGTAGGCAACGGTTACTCAGTGAAAATATGAAACTTTAATAATTATATGTGGCAGAATTATTTCTTAGACCAACCGAAGTTTTACACTTTTAGAAGTATGATATTTTGTTGGGAAACATGACGTTTTACAAAATAACCGTAAAGGCCAAATTACGTGCATTAAGAGTTGTGAAGATCTATATAATTTTTTTAAAATTAAAAACTGCATATTTGACAATGGATTTGAATAATTTCCAAAATTTTGTAGAATCAAGCAAAAAACAATGCAGTCGCATTTACACATAATAGGAAGTTTTCGATCGAGACGACAACGTGAAACCATTCTATACTTTTTGGTGAAACTACTAGGACAGATTAAGTATCAGACGTCCGTGTTCGCCATGCGTTCATTACAAAGCGTAGATACGACACACACCATGTCTTAAACACGTGTTAATTAGTTTATGTGACATCATTACGTTCAGATTGCACAATCGAAAACTCTCATTTCGTTTGCGCTGGCGCAAATTTGTGACCAATTGAATATTATCACGTCATAAATGTGGTGTTTTTCAACATGAAATCGATAATCGTGATACCAAATACCAGTCGGTAGTTTGTATCAAGATAATTGATGAATATTTGTTAATTATATCTGAATATATTTCCCAGACTCCTATATCAGTTGTGTTGAAGGAAAAGGCTAGGCTATCTGTGACAGGCGAAGGTTTACCTATTGTTCCTCAGTATCGCGATACAAAGTCTGCGTTAACCCCGCCTAGTATGCGGTACACATCGTCAACGACGAGCACGGTAATTCCTTATACCATGGAGTTGTTGTTTGATGTTTTATATTTGACAGGTTAGTTAACTTAGGTTGGTTCACACTAGCAGCCTTAAGACGCGCAAGCATACGCGCGGTTGTGCTGCTGTTGGAGATTTTCTCTGTGTGAATTAGTTGAGCTGAGAGGGGATCCTGCGTTCGTCTGACTGCGTCAGCATACTTTTTAATTATGATTGTGTTTGCGTGTATAATATGTTCATCTTGAAAATCGTAACGAATTCATTACCTTTGTTTCGTTCGTAAAAGAATGCATTTTGCTGTAGTGCGAACCAATCCTAAGTCTCACGAATGTACGTCATGATCGCCCGTATCAGAACGCTGTAATAATACATGTGTATAATACCTAAATGAGTACCAAGAATATCAGAATGGGGAGCTGTCGATGTTTCTTTTCGTCATAAGTTGGAATAAAATTAATTGTGACGTTAATTCTTGAGACTTTATATAATAATAAAATAAGCCTATACAAGATATGTGTATATGTACCAATGTAATTGGGACTACTGTTTATAGAATTTTGTAGACATTTTTAGATTTATACTGATGCGATTACAACCACAGCTAAATATTATAGATTATTATAGATTATTACATGTAATAAGTAATTATCGTTAATACCATACTAGTTTCAGCAGTAGATATATAGTAAATTTTTGGTTAATGTTACCAATAGTTTTGATGTTATTAATTTCACAATTGTGTATGTAACTATTCTGTTCACACGTCCTATACGGTAATACTTGTGTCAAGCTGAATTCATACCGAATCCAAATTTTCGGATCGGAAGGTCTACGGTACCGTACCGAACCGATCAGAAAATCGAATCAGTGTGTAAGAATAGGGAGGCTGGCGGTCAGCGCTTCGAAAACGTGGTCCGAATTCCGGTTCGGATCCGATGTGGATGTAGCTTAAAGTTTGCATTCACAAAGAAAATTATAGAAAGATAGTATGATTTAAAAGGAACAAATATATGTGATATTACACAGTATTGTTAGTTGAATTAGTAGATTAATTGAAGTTTTAAGCATTATGCCATTAGCAGATAATTTTTCATTTTACAGCTTGAAAAGAAAGAAACGGTAAGGCATTGCATTTTAACCAACTCTAATCATTTGATTGTTATGCAAAAATACGCTCGCCTGCTTTTAAAAACCGTTCCCATGGCAACATCATCAATGATCATATCAATCATTCATCTACCTCCCCTGTGCTCACTTGGAGATCATAACATTTAGAAGCCTAACATGACCAACCGTTTTGGTAGATATCATATTTCTTATGATCTTTACAGTTACAGACGTTGTATTAGCTGAACCTAACAGTAACTACTAATATGCTATCTAAATAGTACTGCAGTGTTTCCGTAATTTTCTCCTTTTTTGCAAAATTTTAAACATGCTTTACTGAAAACCAGAATTGTAGGCCTAACACTTTTTCTTCTTTTGTTTGTCAGATGTTGTCCTAAAGTCGTTTCTCACTTACTGTTGATCGTGTTGTGTTTTAGATTTCAGATTTTACTGTAACATTAACATCATTCGAAGTAAAGGTACTAATAAGTCACACGTAATTTCAATTGCGGATGCACGTCTGTGTAGAAGGTCAAGACTTCTTATCATCCAATGAAACAACTCAGTATGATATACATTATCACACAGTTGAAATTACCAGAGTGCTTATTCTATCTTAACATAAAAAATGGCTAACAACATTATTTATATAAATTGTATTAGCCCATTTTAAACACTTGAATTTGTTATTGTTTATTGTGTCTTTAGCTTAATATATAAAATTATGAAGCTCATATTAATATTGATATCAATTACATGATATGTAATATTTCTCGACTGAAATTTTGTTGATTTATGTTTATTTCCGTACTTAAAGTAAATGGTCTGTCACTAAAATGTTTAATACCGTACTCGGTCTATATCTTTAGTGTTTTAGACTACCGGTCGGATAACATGGGCCTTACAAATAATTCGCTGAACACCGTAACCTTAATAAAACTAAATTTACTAATTATATGTTGTTCAATCGAACCCACTTCATCGCCTTTTGTGATATCATCATAAGAAATAACATTAATTTTGTCTATCATCGCTTCATTGTGTTCTCATTCACTCATTAGACAACAAAGGCTAATCGCTTAAAACATTTGTGTCGCAAATAATTTCTTTAATCTTAAAGAAGTGGTGTATTGTGCAAGTACATAAACTAATGTTGATCATGTGGTTTCAAGTTTCTGTTTATATTGTCTGCTTTTGATTAAATTCAATAAATTGTGTTATACGTCATTGTATTTGTGTTCTTAATGATATTTGAATTCCATGCAAATATCTATGTTAAGGCATGGACCTGGGTTGTCCAATCCGCTAATTCAAAAAAAAAAACTAACAAAAAAAATTATACCATTTTCAATACTAACGTTACTAGAAGTTCTAGAATGCAGGGTGTTATCTATTTAAATCATTCACAGGCCTTCATAGATATCTCGGTTGCCTTTTGATTGGTCAGTACCGAATAAAAAACCTTTAACTTTTATACAAATGCAAACAAATTCAGCAGGTTTTCAATACACCAAATTGAACATTAAATCAGCTAATAACTCGCTTTGTAATGTGTATTATAGTTGTACTATTTATTCACCTGGAGACCAATGAATGTTTGGTCGATTATCTTTACCTTCAATTTTTTCTTGATGTCGACATTTTTTCTTGAATGTTTAGGTTTTATCTGGTTTTTTGTAAATAGGAATATTCTGCTTGCATTACAGTAGTAGTCTTTATTCTTTTTAATAACCCCTATCAATTCCTAATCAGATAGTTGACGTAAATTCTTATATTTAAAATTTGTTACCTAATAGATGTTTCTTCTACGAAAATGACATACAATGCATGGATAGGCAAAGAATGTATGGTACATTAATATTATTTTTTTTAGAATAGTTTAGAATGTGTTGATGCGACTAGAACGGTGTTTACTAGTTTTGTGATCAAGGTTGCGTTGGACAGAATATATACGTCTGTATATCAAATTGCTTCTATGTAACAAAGCATGGATATTTTCTCTTCGTATAGATCGAACTGGAAAAATCGTCACCAAAGGAAAGCCTTGTGTAAACTCTGTATTACTAACTCTATGTTTTTCACAGCTTTTCTTATCAGAAGAAGACGATGATGAAGAGGAAGAAGGGAATACTGTCGATATTGCAAGTTTATATAGCCGAACTGGAACCGAAGTGTGATTGATATCCAAGTTTAATAGCCGAACTGGAACCGAAATGTGATCGATATCCAAGTTAACTGGAACCGAAGTGTGATTAATATCCAAGTTTATATAGCCGAACTGGAACTGAAGTGTGATCGATATCCAAGTTTCAAGTACTAGACCTAAGCTTTTTTGAAAGTTTCGTAACTTTAGTAAAATCAGGTAAATCTAAATCTATCGGACCAGGGTGTCATGGTGTTGTCTTAAAGTTTTAGTAGATTAAAGGGTATGAAATCTGGCGTTATATTGAAGTTTGCATAAATCGATTCCTTATATTATTATGTACTTTAATTTCTTTTAAATGATACATTTTGATTGGAGTTGTATAATTGCCTTCTAATTCATGCTTAGACCCATTTGAAATAAAAACCTAAGCGGGTCAGTACGCCCAGAATCTTACAAACGAATAAAAACGGAGCTGCACCGTATTGTTGACGGTATGTTTTCAAGAAGCTTTGTTAATTGTCAGTAAAGTCTGCGAGTCCCGGAAATATATTTTGATTTTTGTTTTCAGTGGGCTGGTACTACTTTGGTGTCTTAATTATTATTATTTTTTTTTTTTTGGAATGGGGTGGGGGAAGAGATTAGATTAGAACTTTTCGCTAAGCCCCGTTCCTTCAATAACACGTTCTGATTGGTCAGATTTTTGGGCTTGAATGACACTATGAAAAGGTCTATTAAATTAGTTTGGTAGGAACGGGTTCGTACTTTTAGAATAATACATAGTACTACCTCCTTTCTGTCGAGTCATATATAAAATTTCAAACCTGCATTTGCCTGCCTATCCACATTTTTGTTCTTTTTAGATATTTCCAAATGATTAGAAATTAAATAATTGTCATCTATCAATAATAAAAACTTCAGCAAATATATACTTGATGTGATCACTTAATAGGCCACATTAGCTTTAATGTTAAAACAATTATAATAGATACTGTGTTCACAATGATTCGGTCGTAGTGGTGGTGCCAGCGGGCAAGGTGTGAAGTTTTCTGTCCGGCACGCATGGATCGCCTGTCATCCGGTTGTCGGACTAAATTAATATTTTTAATTATTTATCCCATAAGACTTTTTGAGGCTAAGCGATTTGTCTCTTAGCTCACCTAACGATTTCTGGACCCTGGCCACAGGCTCTGAGGCCCCTTGGTTCGGACACCCTGTCGGACGTAGTCGTCTGTCGCTACATTTCTAGAGCCTTCACTTGGACTGTCTGGCAACTAGGTTATCTGAAAAAAAAATGTTATACCGAGATTCAATTGACCCATCAGTAATTCTAGTGCCGGTATTTTTCAGCAAATCCAGTTTAATAATACTATAGTTGGTATCCATACGAAACCTTATAATGGTCTGTGTAATAGAATTTTTTAAAGTGCTATTCACACAAGTTCACGTCATTTTAACGCACACGTAGGCCTATTATTTACGCAGTTATTCCAGAGAATGGAGATGTAAACGTCACTGCATCCAAACCAATCTAAACTTCTGATAAGCTCATGATGTTTAATGGTGAATTGGGCTTGGAAATATGACGTCAACTTGTAACTTTAATATAACGAATTTTTCCAAAAGTGTAGGTCTACTGTAGAAGGTGTTAAACGGCAATATTTTGTACCGATTTTTTAGAAGAAACGTGTCATTATGTATACTGTATGTGATTGTAATGTATGCAAGATATTACGTTCATGTATTTTAGACTAGAATGTCAAATCTAGGATAATGACTTGGTCCATTCCCATGACCATCTAACACAGTTTAAATGTTAACTAACATGTGAGACTAACAATTTTAATAAATTGATGAATATTAATGTTGCATTTATGAGAAAGCAATAAAAGATGAAAAAGTCGTTCAGTATTGCAGCCTCTGAGTTTTTGTTTTGTTTTCGTACGTACGCTCGAGTTGTAACTTGATGCCAAAAGACGACAGAATAATGATATTAAAAATTTCACATCTGATACATAATTGAAAACCGATGATTTTTTTCAATAATATTAACGTTTTCAAAAGGGAATGGATCAAACGAGACGAAAGCCATCAAACAAGTACAGTACTAATTAATAATATAGGCAGTAATGTAATAATTGGAGTTGGTCGGCTTTCAATTATGAGAGTCCACAATAGTTCTAATGGTATACAATATGCTGCAAAGCTTTTATTCAGCATTATTTTATTGTACATATTATATACAATCGACTATTACTCCAGCTTTCTCAGATGTTAAAGTAGAACCCTTTTAGAGTGGAGTCAATCTATGATCAATGTACTGTAATTCTGAGCATTCTATCTATTCTAAATCAGTGATATTGGGTCGTCTCTTTTAAAGCAAGTATCATTGGGGCGTGTCTTAAATAAATCACCTTATACTTTTGGAGTTTCTGATTGGATAATAGAGAAATTCTTTTCTCTATGATTTAAGAGCTTGTTTACCAAAAAGCTGCTGATTCAGATATATTACAAACTTCAAAACTTAGGCTTCAAAACTGATACTTCTAAATTCATAGTGCGAGAAAAGACAAGTCATATTGAGGGTATACTCGGGTTGACTATTAAAGCTGTCAAGTCAATTTAAGACATTACAGGTGAAAAGGGGGTATCGATTATATGCAAATTCCAATGGTTATATATTAAGTTAATATTATTGAACCATAATACTACATTACATAACATGAATACTGCGGATTGATACTTTTTTGGTGGTTGCATAATGAATAGAATTTATACATTTTTAATTCAATGTTATTTCCTTGTCTTGTCTGTCACTGTCCTCTTAGGGCAGCTTCCTTTGTCAAAAAGTACAGATATGTGCTCATGTGATTAAATAGTCACTTCGTTGATTAAAGGTGTCGAGAAGAGTGGTGGCGAAATCCTTAGTATGACAAGCTAAATTATATCACTTCAAAGTTAACTTTTAATTATTCAGAATAAAGATAATACTGCATTGGTAAAGAAACAAATATTAATGAATGACCATCAAAGTAACGATGATAAACCTTAGTATGCGCCACTGTTAACATCAAATAACAAGTAATCGTAATAGAGAGGAAAACAAGGCATTGTGTTAATTTTTCGTTGTCCACATTTTTAATATCAACTTGCATTGATAAAAGGCCTATACACTATTGCACTATCAATCATGATCATTACTTATAAATATGGTACATTATTATTAACTATAACAGAGATGTTTATAGTACTAGCATCCACTGTTGATGAGTGCCGTAATCATCCTACTGAAGAAACACTTCGTCACTTGAGTATTCTAAGGTAAGATGAAAGAAACTGTGAATTCCTAATCATTTTGAAACTTAAAATTAAACGTGATTACCTATCCTATCCTCTTATTTTTCTACCAATAAACACATCTTTGGCGCAGAAATATAGGAACTACATTTGCATCCCTTATAGGTTAGAGCAGAATTAGATCAGTCGCTTATTTGTGTGTGCTGAATCATAATCAATGGAGACTAAATAACACATTAAAATGGCTACTAGAAAACACCAAAACCTATAGAGAAGGGCTCTATAGGGTATGGACCCCAACAATAAGTAAAGGAACACCCCTTCGATTGCATCTTGTGCCATCCTGGAAAAAAGATCTGGATCCACCATTGCCTGTGGTCCGATTTGGTTCATTAGGCACTTTAATTTATGCATCAAACTCTTAGCAATGTACAGTACATGTTGTGATGTTTTTCCCTACCTAACGTGTAGGCCTACGTTCCCAAATACTCGAGAAAAAATTTGTGATTCGGGTGGGAATTGAATCCACGACCTTCACATAACTAGCCTGGCACCATAACCACTAGAACTGAGCTTGCGGCTAGTGACTAGTGTTCAATCCTATCCCCCAAGTAGCCGCGGATACTGCAAATGCTATTTCGATACAAGTTTGCTTTTGGAAAAGGAGTGGTATTTTGCCCTACCTGACGTATCCATACCGAATACTCAGCATGTTCCCAAATAGGCTTACTACAAAATAAAAAATAAATAAATAAATAAAAAAAATCGCAAGGGTGGGAATCAAACCCACGACCTCCAGATAGGTCTAACTAGCCTGGCGCCATAATAAGTACTAGACTACCGAGTTTGCGCTTAGTGACTAAGTGTCAAATCCCCAAGTATCAGCGGTACCGCATATTTACCGGTACTGTATTCGATGCGAAAAACACGTAAGGTGGGCAAAACTTCACTCCTATGATATTTTCCTGGCGCAAGCTTAAATCGAAATGTAGATATTGTTTTAATTAGGTAATGTTCATTTTTGCCATAAATGTAGGCCTGTTCTATTTACACCGAAAGGTCCACTGATTAATCTCAGATAAGATCGTATAATATTGACATCTATTACTCCGTCAAATAATGATGATATTCTGAATAAAATGTTAGTGTAATTGACTATAAACGCAGAGTTATATTAAAATAATTTGTAATAATAATTTTCAATGCAAATAGAATACAAGATAGTATAATACGTACTCCAGGTATCGAAATGCACGCCATCGTGTCGGGGATTCAATATTAATTATGTCATTATCAGGAATTCCTAGGGATGACATAATTGATGTCGAAATATTAAATCCCGACACGATGGCGTGCATTTCGATACTTGGAGTATGTACTATACTATTTATGTATTATATACTATTATTATTGTTATTATTATTATTATTATTATTATTAATCATCATTAATTATTTGAGCAATAGTTTAGATGTCAAAACATTATATTTCAAAGAGTTTCTTTTTCAGTTTGATGCAATGGACTTTGAGCTATACTAAGTCATAAATCTACCGATTTACAGCCATAGTATAAAATTGGTTTACAACATTCGAAACTACTGTGTTATTTTTCTCTGATTTTTTTTAACAGTACTACACTGTACAGTACCAGGAAGCGAACAGTGAAATTACAATTTCACTGTTCCCCCTGACTGGTAACTAACAACTAAGTTGTGGGGCGCCCTCTCTAACCCGGAAATATGGTCATCCACTGAATTTAGTTGCCCATTGCTTGGGTGTGGACGAATGTTGTTCACACAAGATTTTAAGACAGTTTCCTAAAATTGAGGTTGCATGCTTTTTATAGGAACCCCTCTCTAAGGTAAGAAAATATTTCTGTCTACAACACTTTTGAAAATTATTGAATTTATTCGTGAGCCTGAAAGTAGTATTTGATTTCGAAACAAAGCAAATGTTGTCGGACGCTACTGTCCTGAGTGACTACCTAACCATATCTGTGTAGGCTAGGGAGCTGGTGCAGCATTGCATAAACAATGAACGGCAATTTGACACTTTGTGCAAGGTAGTAATCGTGGTAGGGTGGCCTACAGTAGCTAGAGAGTAGGCCTAGGCTAGTCCTAGTAAGATAGGCCATGGTTAGGCGTGCAAGGAGGTATTCTCCTTGTTCTGCTGTGTAAGTAAGTAAGCTAGACTAGTAGTAGTAGTATTAACTTGAGCTATATATATCTGTAAATATTCGTATTTCATTTAAATTATTAATATTTACTGTATATTAAATTAACAATAAATGAACATTTTATTTACCTATAAATATAATCAAACTTTACCTAGACTTTTCCCACCATGTCGCCACGAAGTACTGCATCCCATGTTTATGCTATAAATATATTGTTTCATCATTTGTTTACAATAACATATATTTATCCACCTAAAAAAATAGAAAGATGGGTGGGGGAGAAAATGAACATTTTTCATTTACTATTGAAATTTGAAGACATAGTTACGGAAATTCATTTTACTAGCTTGAGAAGTCTCTGTTTAGTCACTGTTCACCCTCTGTTTACCATTTTTTGTTCACCTTCCGTTTTTTTATTTAGGTGAAAACATGTCGACCACAGTATCGTTGGAGGATGCTCTTTCAAATGTGGATCTTTTGGAAGAGCTCCCTCTACCAGACCAGCAGCCATGCATTGAAGCGACGGCGGTGTCAATCACTTATCAAGCTAACTTCGACACCAATTTCGAAGACAGGACAGCTTTCGTGACGGGCATGTCCCGGTACATTGAAGAAGCAACTGTACATTCAGAAATGGTGAGTTTGGTATTTATTCAACATTCAATTTGTCAAATTTTTGCTTACAGTGAATTATTATATTGCTAATACTGGGGCAGATATGCGGTAGGGGGTGTGTCAGCTGAGAGTCAATACCACATCAGCCACAACATGGTTGGGGTCGAGGTGAGAAAATTTTGGTGCCCGGAAATTGCACTCTCATACCTTAAAAATGTTATCCGTACTACAGTAGGAATTTCAACAATACAATAAAAGAAGTATTTTTCTTATATACAATTTATTTATTTTTTTTAAGCAGATGATGTGATTGCACCCTTCTCTGCATCTACCCTTAGTTTTGATGTTCTAATTTTGAAATCATTACATAAATATTTGTATAAATTTCAGAACAAACTACTTGAGGAGGGCCATGGGTATGCTGTGATGCTGTACACATGGAGAAGCTGTTCGCGTGCCATGCCAGCAGTAAGTCTATTATTACTATTATTAATATTATTATTATCATCATCATCGCCATTGTCATTATCATCTTTATCAATATTGTTATAATCATTAATTATTACTTTAATTTTTATTATCATTAATTCTTGATTTTGGTCAGTCAGGCTCGGGCAGCAGTATTATTATTTTTATTATTGTTGTTATTGTTATTATTGTTATCGTCATCATCCTCATTGTCATTATCATCATTGTCATCTTTATCGATATTGATTGTTATTTTTATTATTCTTAAATTTGGTCAGTCATGCTTGGGCAGTTATTATTATCATCATCGTCATCACTATCAATAATGTTATAAATTAATTGTTACTGTTATTTTTTATTATTGTTAATTCTTTATTTTGATTCAGTCACACATCGACAACAATAAGAACTTATTAGCTTTATATTAATATAATTCCAAAATAACAATTGTATATGACTATTATTTTTGCTATTCTTTTCTATTGAATTATTTAATTAATAGCATTTTGTATATTAAAGCTGTGGTGTAGGCCATCTGCTTTTCTGCTAATGCAAATAAATTCAATGTTCAGAACTTTTCTACAAAACCAAACTTGAAAATATCTGTCATTTCCTTACCAATAATATTGCATTATTGTTTTACAGATCAAATCTAACTCACAACCTAACAGGGTGGAGATATATGAGAAGTTTGTTGAGGCTTTGGAGCCTGAGGTCTCAAAACTCGTAAACCTGTTCTACTTCCAGGTAAGCCCTAATAAAATTGTTATTTTTTTTAGATGTTGTTTTCTCATTTATTTAGATGGTGTTTTCTTTGATATACTGTATTAATATTTAATAATGGTCCAAATTTATATTGTGTTGTGTAGCTTCATTATTTACATTAAGGATTTTTCTTGAGTAAGCAGACATGGTCTTGACCAATTAAATCCAATTATACACTGAATTCTCATTTCAGAGGAACATTTAAGTTCCATTTTCACTTGTTTATTATAGTAAAAAGGGAAATCCTTTGCCGAGTCACAGGCAAGGCCCATAGGACTGGAGCTTATCCTCAATTTCACTACAGTAAAGGAGATGAGATCCTTGGGTGGGATGTTAGTCTACCACAGGTTACTCCAACCTAGTACCCTAGACTGAAGCAGTGTAGTTAAAGTGCCTTGCTTAAGGACACAAATGAAATTCATGAAGGATTGAAAACCCGACCTCAGATTTGAGAAACCAAACTTTTTCATTGATCCAAACAGCTTCCTCTTCTTCAATAATCAGGGGCGGATTTAGGGGGGGCCGGCCCGGCCTCGGCCCCCCTTTTTGGGAGGTAAAAAAAAGAAAAAAAAAGAAAAAAAAGAGAGAAAAAGAAAAAAATTATAGCCCAGAATGCCTCAAATGTTATGTTCGGGCGTCTAGAACAGAAAAATTTCGCGGGGGCATGCCCCAGACCCCCTACGACAGTGTTATCTCAATCGGCCCAACTTATGGCCCCCGCTTCCGGCCCCCACTTTTGGACATTTCTGGATCCGCCCCTGATAATAAAGTTATTCTATTTTAGAACTAGGCATGAATACTAGGTGTGAATATCTGTTATTCTCTTGACCAATTACAATGAAAATAGTAAAATAGAGCAAATGCATTCAAGGCCGTTGAAGTACTAGACTTAATTATTTCGCCGCTCACACCATGAACTAACACTTAAGTAACTTGTATTAGTTTGTGGAATCCTAAATGTTATATTTCATTGTTCATAATTATCGGTTGTCACTCATTTCTCTATTTTTTAACAGTACACACAAAAAGTTCATAACCACAACTGTGTGTATTTGAATGCTTTTTAGTTTTCATAAACAACCACCAACTACAGTACAGTACTTTGATTGTGTTAGTTTGTGGTCTACCCCTGTAATCCTTGAAGCATTTGAACATTTGAAATGAATTTCTCTATTAATTAACTTAGACTTCATTATTATGATAAAATAACAATATTTTATATAAGGTTTTATTTTTACTTTAATAATGAATTTGTCATTCATTCATTTTAGAAAATATGTTTAAAATACAATATATTTTTGAGAATGACTTTGATGTAAGCCAGATATATATCATGTTTAGTGGGTTTGAGTTGGTCGTATTTTATAATTCAAATTAAATGTGAAAATAAATCACCTAAATTCCCAGAAGATTTACATCGACTGTTTGCAAGCCCTTCCCAAGCTTGAGGAGCTTAACATTTTTCCCACACACCATGACTCTTCATTGGTAAATAACGATTTCAGTTATAAAAAAAATGAAATTATTATCGATATTAAATTTAAATTAGATGCAAGATTTTAAAATGATAGCAATGGCCTGCCCTGGGCAGTGAACCTGCCTGTAATTAATTTCAGCAATCATATCGTACAGTAGGTCACAAACACTGTACAATTAGACATACTGTAAATGCTCGAATAAGCACCGCTCTCAAATAAGTGCCACTCTCGAATAAGCGCCATACCAAACATGATTTTTTTTATCTAAGTTCCACTCGAATAAGCGTCGCAATGCTTAATCGCAAGTAGGCCTATATAACACTTTGAGAAACAGGGTTTTAAATACAATGTACACAGTGTTCAAATAAATAAATAACAAAATGAAGACCAACAGCATTTCTTTATAAATGTTTATTCACGATGACATAGTACCTACAGTGTGATAGTCCTACTGAACTACATTAATACACGAGATACTGTATTTAACATAGGAAAATGCATGGCAAGCGCCACGCGAACATGTTTTTTTATAAATAAGCGCCGCTTTCGAATAAGCGCCTCACAGAAGCCTGCAAAAACACTTACTGTTAAGCGCCGCAGCGCATATTTGAGCATTTACGGTAATGAAGTGGTGTGTAACAATTATGGAACTAATAGAAATTCCTCTATGTGGTATGCAAGATACAACATTCTGTCTTAAGTAATAATATTCTATAAAGAGGGTTTGAATGTATGTAGATTAAATAAATATTCATACCATTTTATTATTGGTTTGGAAGTTTTAACTTGTGGCATATGAGAGAGTAAGGTAGCATGCTCAAATATTGTTTAGTGTGTGTTTTCCATGCTGAACTAACAATATTTAATGTTGTAAACAGTTTGAATCTGTTCGTACATACTGTAAGAATAACAGACAATACAATCTCCTAAATCATTTTAAATGATGTTAACTTCCTCCTCGAGTAGAGGGATAGTGAGTTATGCTGGCAAGCTTACCCTCGTGGGGGCCAACATTTGCTGGTCAAAAGGAAGCACTTGTATTTTCAAGGAGACTACAAACACAATTAACTTTCAATAAAGATATGGTCTGGCTATTGAATAGCAGCTCAGTACTAAGTTGTATTCACATTGTCTCTGGTTTGAACAAGGAATTAAACATAAACATTTATCCATTTTTATAAAAAACTTTATTTGAATGGCTCATTTTTAGTTGGATCCTGCATGTAAAATTAAACATCGTAATGTTAATCAAATTTTTATTGACATTTTTAGGTCAAAGTTCAAGTGTGTACAGTATAAGTAAATAAATCATGGTTTATTGGTTGGTTAAAATTTGTTTTGGCTTAAGTTAGCAAAAACTAATTAATCAATGTATTTTTAATCTGTCGAATGCAATGCAAATCTGTTCTGTTTTCAGCAAAAAGCGTTAGACTTGTTTGTGTCGGATTTCACGCGTTTGTGCAACCAGGAGAAACGACGAGACTTTGTCTCCGAGTCGTACCTCCTCACGGTTGGTAAATGTTTGAATATGTTCATGGTGCTAGATAGCATCAAGAACGTTCGTGCCAGTATCCGTAATGATTATTCCCATTACAAAAGGTAACCTCATGAATAATTCATAGAATGCAGATGCATTATTTAATATTAGTCAAGCTTGGTGTGCATCATGAATTATGCTAATTATTATGTACTTGATGCATAACTATGAATTATGCAAATTAGTTGTAATAGAATATATATTCATGATTTATTATAATTTCGCTGCATATTCTGTATTATGCAAAATTGTCAGTAAGAAGTTATGCATATCCATCATATCTTTTATGCAAATTTGTACATACATAATTGATGCATATTCATGATATAGCAAATTAGTACATGCTTGTAGCTCATTCATAAGAATCACTTCAGCCAAAATGGTATTCATCAAATGATTGAGCTTTTGAAATTTTTAAATTTTGTTTTATCTATTTTCAATTTCTTAATAATTTCATGAACACCATAGTGTCTGAGTATAGTTAATAAGCTATCAGGGTTTAGGCCATTTTAGCCATAATACAATGTCCAACACTTGCTTATTTATTCCAGCAAAAAGCTATAGACTTATTCTACAAAGATTTCCAGCGCTTATCACATCCTGAACGACGCAAAGATTTTGTGTCGGAAGCCTATTTGCTTACCCTTGGCAAAGTCATGAACATGTTTGCAGTGTTAGATGCCCTCAAAAACATCAAAGCCAGCATCAAGAATGATTATGCTCAGTATCGAAGGTTTGAGTTCTATTTCACACCTACCCTTCATAAACCCACCTATCATATCTGCTAACCATCTCTAATGTACCCACCATATGAACACAGCCAGTTTGCATTGTCGCCTAACCTTACTATACACATTATTCAAAACCAGTTGTTCACATTATCTGATAATTTTTTGCTGTAACCATCATTTAACACCTTTGTTCACGCCATTGTACACCTTATTTAACACCACATGTTCACAACATCTTCTTAAACTCTGCTGTACATTAAATTTAACACCACATGTCCACATATATATGCTAACCCAACTTTAACCCTCTCTCTAACACCACATGTCCACATATATGCTAACCCAACTTTAACCCTCTCTCTAACACCACTTGTTCACATATCGAAACTAACCTTTTCTTCCTGCTCTTTTGCTTCATCATGCATGTGCTTGTTTTTTTTGTTTTTTTTTAAAGCTTTGACTCACTAAAGTCTCATTTAGTTTACTGCATTATTTTGCTTGGAACTCTTGTTTAATTTTGTTATTTAATGCTTTGCTATATTTTTAGTTAAAAGATGGTTTATTCAGTTTTTAATTTTAGTTAATTTTACAAGCTACATGTTAATTTAAAATTTTCTTATCTTAATGAATTATATTTTATTTGAAGCAGATCTACAAAGATATCATCAGTAAAGGCCAAAGTTCACCTGATTTGAACCTGTTTTAGCATTTATTTATTTCTGCTTAAAAATGGCATAGCAATCTACATTTTCATTTGCTTCTGATTGTGCCGTTGTAAATTGCACATATTCTTTATATAAATTAAATAATGCAAATTGATGAAAACATGATTATTTATTATATTATTTATTATAAATGAATCAAAAGATTGAAGAACATCGACCATGTATTCTACTTTTTAACATTGTTTTCTTTTCCTGTAGCACATTTTGTCAACTACACTTTTGTTTGTGTTTGCATATCTACTTGCATGTTGAATGTTTGTGTCTTTCTATTAATAACTCATTCCGAATGTTGAAATAATGAACCGTACAGATCATGCACTGAATGGGAAAAGTGTAAAGAATTGTTTTGTTCAATTAACAGGATCACATTCAAGAGGGGCTTCAGTGCACTTCTTTTTTTTTCGTCAGCATGATTTTGTTTAACCTGCATCTTGTTTCACTTACATAATATTATTATTAACTTAATAATTTTGATAGTACATATTATGATACCTTTATGGTTTTCAATAAAAGAAATCCAGCCCCATTGAAAACACAAAACACAATAGCTGTAATGTTCTGATCTCATAGTCCCATTCCTCTAAACTGTATACTCTTTACCTCCAATTGCCTTAGCATTTCCTTGATAATCCATGAATGTTCTTTTTACTTGCGTGTAAACAACTTTTTTATTTCATAAATTGTGCTGAATTTAAAAATCATATTAACTAATATTAACTAATGTTAACTCATATTAACTAATATTAACTAATGTTCTATTATTTTAAAGAGCTGCACAGTTCCTGAAGCGTATGTCCACCCCTCAGTCGATCCAGGAATCGCAGAATGTGACACTGTTTCTGGCAATTAATGACAAGATCACCACAACGTTAAAAAGTAAGATACAGGAAATCCAAGGACACGAGGAACTTCTTGTTGACATTGTAAATATCTGCTCCGATATGTATGAGAACAAGCAATATGTGCTACCACAGGAAAAACACATGCTACTTAAGGTAAACAATTAAATCTCAATTTTTCCTACCATTTTCATCTATCATTTTCATCTTCTTTCTCCACTTAATCCCTATAATCAACTCATATAACTTTCTTCTTTCTCCTTTTCATCTTTTTTTTTTTTATCAAATATATATATTTTTTTCATCTTCCACTTTTGTTATCTGCTTCTTATTCTTTTACTTCCTCCTCCTTCTCCCTTTCCTTATTATTTTATTTTCAAAAATTGTCTTCCTATTTCATTTATCATTTCTCATTCTTTTCCTGTTACACTTTTTCTTGTTCTTGTTCTAATTTCTTATTTTTTCTCCTCTCTGTCTCATCCACCTCTTCCTAATCAATTTCTTTTTGACCTCTAAAATCTTGTTCTTGCACATTGTGTCCTCTAGGTCATTCTGGTTTTTTCCTTCTTACACTTTTTGTCCTCATCTTTTGTTCTAATTTCTTCCTCTTTCCCCCTCTTTATCTCATTCCCTTCCTAATTGCCCTTCCTACCACTCATCCAGTCAAAATATTTTTAATCTTATTTCGTTACCACCACATTTTTATCTCCTTTTTTTTTAAATTTTGTACAATCCATTTAAATCAAGTTTTATTCTTATTACTAACAGGTCATGGCCTTTGCCCTTTACCTTATGGATGGTAAAGACGTCAGCATCTACAAATTGGATGGCGGCAAGAAGAAATTCAGCTTATCAAAGATAGATAAGTTTTTCAAGGTAAGCTCTATCCAGATTATCAAATATTGTATGCTTATATATAGTCATGATGTGCCTAAATATGTCCATGATGTGATGTCATCATGACCATATTTAGGCATGTCATATTAGTATTGTTATTTTCATTATTATTACCATTAAGTATGTTAATACTTATAACATTACCATTAAGTATGTTAATACTTATAATATTACCATTAAGTATGTTAATACTTATAATATTTTTATTATTATCATCAATAATGTTATTCATATATTATTCTTATCAAATGTTTTTCATATTTTTATTATTATCATTAATAATGTTATTCGTATTTTTATTATTATCATTATTAATGTTATTCCTATTATTATTATCATTATTAATGTTATTCATATTTTATTATTATTATCATTATTAATGTTGATAGTGGAAATTACTGAATACTCTGTACGTGTGAAAACAATTGCAAAAAAAAATCGCAAGTCTCGGGAGGGACTGGAACCTACGATCTCCAGATCACTAGCCTGGCATCATAACTCTAGACCACCAAGCTTGCGCCTGATGGCCAGGGTTGAATGCAAGTCCAAGTAAGCAGCGGGTTCTGCAATGTTGATAGTAATTGTTATTGCCGTGATGGAATAGACAATAATGTTATTCACTTTTTTTTATTAGCATTATTAATGTTATTCATATGTTTAATTTGTTTCTTTTGCAGCACTTAGAAGTTGTACCCTTATATGGTGATATTCAGATTTCACTGTATTCTTACATAATGAAAAGTGAGAACTTTGAGAGTCATAGGTCCGTGTGGAGTGTGGACTCAAGCGGAAGCCTGAACCATAGCGCCCAGTACAACATTGTTGAGCAACTTCCCAGCGTCCGGGACCACCATACTCGCTACATTAGTGAGTTGGCCACACACAGTAACAAGGTAGGCCTACTATTCTAGGGTGTTTCATGTGTATCTGTTGATTTTTTAAGTCTTATTGTTGTATACAGTGGTACCTTACGCTGCCTATTTTCTTTTGTATTACAGTAGGCTAGCCCATCTTGTCTTTAAGCCCGTGCCCTACTAAGGCTGCGTATTTTTGTTTGTATTACAGTAGGCTAGCCCATCTTGTCTTTAAGCCCGTGCCCTACTATGGCTGCCTATTTTCTTTTGTATTACAGTAGGCTAGCCCATCTTGTCTTTAAGCCCATGCCCTAATTTTTTTGGTGATTTTCACTATGTGTACTATAAAGATGAATGTGTAAATTAAACAAATTCCTTACAAAATGAACAATGATAATGAATTTAATAATTTGAAATTAAAATCTAGGAAGTTACCACGGCACAGAAGGAAACACAAAGAAGTGATGCTGAAAATGTCGCCCTCTATAATCTAGCACTGCGAGGTTTACGACTGCTTGGTGCCTGGACATCACTAGTTGCAGAATTGGTAAGAAGCGAACATTATATAAGAAAGTGCTAGGTGTGTGTGTGTGTGTCAGTGGTGGTGGTGGAAATTGCCACCCCCCTCACTAGTATTGTGGTCTAAAAACACATTTGGATCAAACTAAGCCATAAAAACTCTCTCCCTGAATCCTACAAGGGAGTAATACCGGGCCGTCGACTAAGGCTTCGTCGGCCCCTTGGCTGGGACCCCTTGTCAGCAAATTTCTGGTAACACCGCTGGTGGGTGTGTGTCTGGTTAGGCAATTGTATAGTACTGTTAATATTGTAACTTACTTGGTAGCACAAGGTCTGACAAACTATTTAAAACACTTTATGATAGTACAGGTACCGTATTATAAAGAAAGCAACAGAACAATTATTTTGATGAATAATTAAAATATAATATCGAAGAAATGATCCAGTTAAAAGGATTTGTTTACATTCATTTTATTTAGGGTGAAATTGATTAAGAGAGGTTTTAGTTTGGTATTTAATGCACATGTCTTAGTTTAATACATTTGTATACATAACTGTTCCACCCACCATCTGACACTTAATATTTTGTGAGTCAGATTTTTCAGCATCCATACATAAAATAGAACTTTCTGGAGTGTCAATCAAACTTAACAACTGACCAATCAGAAAAGACCAGAACATGTTTTTTGTATACCTTCACAACAATATCCAAGGGGTGCAGCTTAGCAAAAAGGTCCATTGTTGAAGAAGGTTGGATCGTTGTCTTAGCCTGATGAATTTTAACAAATATTATTTCTTAAAATAAATATACCGGTATATATAAATTTGATAATTATTTATACAATGTGAAATTATAAAGTTATGAAAAAAATTAAAAATATATATATATTTTTTTTATTCACACAGTATTCATGGAAACTCATTCATCCTGCCGATAAACGTTCAAATCCAAACATCCCTGAAAGCGCTGAAGAATATGAGAGGGTAGGTAGAACTTAAGCATTGAGAGAAAACACATTGTTTATGTCGTGTAGTTTATCCTGTTATCAATGCTTACACTGTTGGATGAGATGAAATACAAATTTTTAAATATATAAAAATGCTAATCACTATTAGAAGGTGCCCTCTATATATTTAAATATGCTTTATTTTTTTATAGTCAACACGATACAACTACAGTAGTAATGAGAAGTTTGCGCTGATCGAAGTCATTGCAACGATCAAGGGTTTACAGGTGCTGATGAACCGAATGGAAAGTGTATTTTACGAGGCAATTGTGAGGACTGTTTATGCTGAGATTCAGGATTTTGTCCAGGTTCAGCTACGTGAACCTCTGCGGATGTCAATCAAAAAGAAGAAACCCGTCCTAGAAACGTAACTGAAATTGTCTTATTCATTTTAATTTTTAGTTCTTCAGATCCACGAGCATACCTACTAGGCTCTTGTTGATTTATTTATTTTATTCAATTTCCAGTTTACAATACAAACAAAATCATTAATATGAGAATACAATTTAACATGGATTACAGTGAGTGCACTATGAGAGTGGCTTCCCATATTGCACTAGATCTAAAAATTAGAACTAGCTCTATTGATTATTATTAATTTATTGAACTAATTTATTGTTTATTTCTGCTGGAGAAGTGGATGGTTCACCTAAAGAAGAGCAAACATGTGTACTTTCACCCAAAGAAGTGACTGTTCACTTTAAGGAGAAGTGAACTTTTTACTTGAAGATATGCCCTGTTCACCTTAAGAAGCACACTGTTCACCTCAAAAAGTGCACTATTCACATGAAAAGTGCACTATTTACCAGACGTGCACTGGTCACCTGAACATGTAAGCTGTTCACTTAAAGAAGTGCACTGTTTACCTGAACATCTTTTTCTAATAATACTCTGCAGACTAGTAAAACTTATTAATTATTTACTTCTTGTGTTTAACATTAATTTAATTTTTATTTTAGAATTCTACAGGCAATAAGACAAACATGCGCTGATTGGCAGAATGGGATGGAGCCTGTGAACGATCCCTGCTTGAAGGGGGACAAAGACCCAAAGACGGGTTATAATGTGGCAGTGCCTAGAAGAACAGTTGGGCCTAGCAGTACACAGGTAAAAATAATTATACATCAATATATTATGTATGTTTCATTTTCTCCCTGAAGCAAAGAACTTAATTGGTAATTTGTATGCAAATAATGTTTTTTTATTAAATTGGTTTGTCTAATTGAAAGAGAAAACTCTCCTGTTGTTGGTTGGTTCTGGACTTCCAACGACCTGAATAGGTCTGACAAATCATCTTCATTACTACTATATAAACTTAAACAAACTCAAACTCAAAGAGCTCAATCACCAAGCGCATAGAGGCTTTTTCGCATAATGCACTATACAAATCCAACTATTATTATTATTATTATTATTATTATAACATTTCAGGCTTAAGAAAAGGAAGGTTTAAGTCAAAAAAAGCAAATATAACTAAATGTTTCTCTGCCCTTGTGGTGGCCACCTTTCAATCTCAGACTTCTGGTTTTCAATCCTGTAAAAGTCCAGAATTTTGTGTCCCGACTAAAAACAAATCACTTTGATCTTTGATAGTCCAGTTTAATCAAAATGACATGAAAATTAAATTAGGAGATGATGAGCCCAGTATTTGTAATCTGTAATTGCAAATTGTTGTAACGATTATCTCAATGATTAAATTATAATAGGGAATTATAGTTATAATTGGATTGATTTCTGATGATGTTTTGTAGTTGTACATGATGCGAACAATGCTTGAATCAATATTCTGGGACAAAGGCAAGAAGCCGATGCGCAAGGATCTTGACGAGAAGTCTCTAGCCACCATTGAAGCCTTCCATAAGCGTTCTTTTTTCTACCATCATCTTCTGAGCTTCTCAGGTATGTGGATCAGTCTGTGGTGAAATCTAAAACCTCAAGATGACCTTTAAACTTTTAGGCCTATATAAAGTATGCAATTTAATTGTTGTTTAATTTTGCATGATGTTTATTGTGGTTTTCGGGTGTGATATCACCTTTTCCTTACTCAAGGTAATGTCGTCGTCTTGGTAGCACACGGTAGTGGAGCCACGGGCTGCTCCTGTGGTGGAAAGTGCCGGAGCCCAGCATGCTGCCTTTTGTGGATTACCTGCTTGTAAATTGCCACATTGAGACTGCGACGTTACTTTGACATCGATGGGCGAGACCACTTGATTGTCACCATCTCCTGCATCCCTGCCTTATGTTGTTGTTATATGCCTAGAGGTTATGAACATTAGGCGCTATATAAATATTGATTATTATTATTATTGTTGTTGTTTCTTTTTGTTTGTAAAAAAATATTGTTTTCTTCTTTAGAAACTCTACAGGAGTGTTGCGATTTATCACAACTTTGGTATAGAGAGTTCTTTTTGGAGATGACAATGGGTGACCGAATTCAGGTAAGATTCATTTCCACTGTAATTACAATGTTCATTTTAGCATTGATGATGTCATATCGGAGAGCCACTAGGACAGTCACTAGACAGTGATTCAGTTCACTTTTTGGCAATCCTGGTTGGCCAACTGAGTGTTGTTTTTTGCTGTATGTTATCTTGTGTTTGTCAATTTTAATGTATTGTGGACGAAATAAATAAATGAAATGAAATGAAATATCACTCTTATACATTAAAAAAAAAACAAAAAAACTTGTAACTTATAAAGATAATTAAGTTCTTTTTATTACTTTTAATGATTTTTTGTTTCATTTTGTTAAGTTTCCAATTGAAATAAATAAATGAAATGAAATGAAATATCACACTTACACATTAAAAAAAAAAACCTTGTAACTTATAAAGATAATTAAGTTCTTTTTATTACCTTTACTGATTTTTTGTTTCATTTTGTTAAGTTTCCAATTGAAATGTCAATGCCCTGGATTTTGACCGATCACATTCTGGAAACGAAAGACGCATCTATGATGGAGTAAGTAACATTTTTATTTTATATAACCTGCATTGCACCTTATGTATAAGCAGTGGCATATCTAGATGTGTGTGTGTATGCAAGAAGGAATACCCCCTCAAAAAACTGCCCCTCCCCCCATTGAAATGCCCACTCATTTGAAAATATAAAAAGAATCTGTCTTACCAAGCAACCAAGCAACATAAGGACAACATACTCCACCTTTGTGCCCTTTAGGCTTTCATCTCCCAGACTCATACATCCACTGTGTATAAGTAAATATATTTCTTTAAGAAATATGCACTATACACTGGTGCTACACAAGATACCATTATTATATTATATGTATTACTTCCGTAGGTACATTTTGTATCCGCTAGACCTGTACAGCGACAGTGCTCAGTACGCCCTCACAAGGTTCAAGAAACAGTACCTCTATGATGAAATTGAAGCTGAGGTTTGTTCACTGCTCAATTCATGTCAATAACAATAATTATCTCTCTTCTTAATTTCTTAATTTATTCATTTTACTTATTCATTGCTGCATTCATCAACAGATTTGTTTAATTATTCAATTCTTCCTCCATGACTCCCTTTAGCTATGACTCACTCCATTCATCAATAAATTAATTTTAATTATGTATTCATCCATTGCTCCATTGACAGATTCAATTTAATTATTCAGTCATCCATTTGTCTTTATTATGCATTTGATCTGTCAGTTTTGTTCCTGTTTCTTCCTCCTACTTATTCTCTCATATCTTACTCAGCTTAACTCATCCATAATTTATAATAAATTTATTCATAATCAATTATTTATCTCTTCTACCATTCCTGGTTATTCATTGTAATTATTCCATTAATCCATCTCACCATTGCCTGATAGATGTATTTAAATTATTCATTGAATCATCTCTCTCTCTCTCAACAACTACTCTATTCCTTACCTTCTTTTGATAATGATATTTTATTTTTTTGCATTTTTCAGGTAAACCTGTGCTTTGATCAGTTGGTCTACAAGCTTAGTGATCAGATTTTTGCTCACTACAAGGCCTTAGCTGGAAGGTTAGCACTCCCTTCTTTCTCTCTTATTAATTAAAACATTCTTTTATATTTGTGAAGTTATCATTTTGATGACATATGTAGGTTGTCACTCTTATTTTAATCAAGATTTTCATTTGCAAGAACTTATTTTTATAATTATTATTATCAATATTATTATTATTGCTGTTATTATTTTTTTTATTTTGTGAGGTTTATCCAAACTCCCAAAAGCACAAATATCAGTTTTTTGGCAGAAAACAAATGAAGGTCAAAATATATTGTAACAGAAAATGTAAGGGGAAGATTAGTAAAGGAAATAGATGGTTTCTGGAAGATGATAAAATTGTTTAAGTTTGGTATTTACTTTTTTTTTTATACCATCTTAATAATTAGAGAGCTTACACATATTTGTTATAAAATAAACATCCTGAGTACTGTTCTGTGATTTGCTGTAATAAAGTGCTTTGCCTCATCGGTTCACTTATAACATAAATAATTATTCACTGGATGGTTGTTTTTGTAATTTGTTTTTCAATTAGTATTCTACTTGACAAACGGTTTCGTGCTGAATGCGAGAAATTTGATATCACAATCCGATTTCCACATCCGAACAAGTACACAACGCTGTTAAGACAGCGTCATCTTCAGCTGCTAGGCCGATCGATTGATATGAACCGACTGATCACACAACGTGTCAATACAGCGATGCAAAAAAGTCTTGACCTTGCAATTGCTAGGTTTGAAAGTGGTGACATCACAGGGGTCATAGTAAGTTTGAAATTTTAGCTTTAAAGTTATGTTGCTAATCTACCTTTTTGTGGATAAACCTATCTGACTATTGCTAGTTTTATTTAATTTAAAAATACCCCTTAAAATTTAATGGAACAGTTGGCTTTTGGCTGAGATTCAAGGTGACTTATGCAGAATACCAGTAGCCAATAACTGTTCCATTAATTTTCCAAGGGGCATTCTCACTTATAGGGTTTCTCCATGTATTTCACTCATAGGCTACCAACATCACTAGAGATTTTAATTTCATCTTTGATTCCATAAAAGTAATTGTTTCAATGTTTATAGAATAATTTTAATGATAATGTACTTTTTACTACAGGTAGATAAACTTATTAGTACGTTTCAATTTTGCAACATTTATGTGCATTTTTAAAAAAAAACAGAATCTTAATATAAAAAAAAATTAAATATATATTGAACTTCAAAAACCAAAAGTTCAAAATATCATTTCAATCTTTGGTGAGTCTCTTATTGGACTAATAAAACATATCTGACCAACTTTTTCTATTTAAAGCAATCTCTCTTAACCTTACGATATCATCGTTCATGTTCAAATCATTTCTACATGCAAGATCATAATTTGATGAGATTCAAACTCATTTGGTGTCTACCCTGTCTACCAGGAAGAAATGTAGAGTTATTTTCTGCAAATGATAACAGAGTTATTGGTGGTGCATTTTCAACAAATCTTAGTATATGTCTTAACATATTCCACCTTAATTTAGAAACTAAAAAAAAATTAACATTTTTATATAGGAACTTGATTGTCTGTACGAAGTTAACCGACTTACACATCAGCTACTCAGCAAATATATGACACTCAACGACTTCGAGTCGATGTTCCGCGAAGCAAACCACAATGTTCTAGCGCCATATGGTAGAATAACCCTTCACGTTTTCTGGGAATTAAACTACGACTTTTTACCTAACTTCTGCTACAATGCCGCTACAGATCGGTAAGTTATCTATATTTATTATCAGTTTGTATAAGTCATTAAAAAAATAGAGTATGAAATCCATCCCATAATTGGTGTGTTTTCTGTTGAATGTAAAAGTAGAATAAAAAATAACCCTTTTTTGTTCCGTTTTAGATTTGTTAGAACATCATTATCTCTAGCAGAAGCTCTTAACAGGGAAAGGCCTCCAACAGCAGCGCCCTCATACATCTATGGCTCAAAGGTAAGTCAACAACTTGAACTCTTGTATAATTAATTGTACATTAAAATAGTGTTTCTTATTGTTACATTAGTGACTATATGATTCATTTCAGCATAACACATATTTTAAGAATGTTCAATAAATTATTTCTGGGTTTATTAACGTATACTTACCACATGTCATTTAGCCATTGTCTTGCTAAAACCTTCTGCTTATTTAAATTCCATTGCTATCAGAAGTACGATTTAGCCAAAAGGTAAATCTTGCCTCCAAAATGTATCAAATGCATACCTGGACCAAGCATATTAAATGCCAACAATATGCACTCCACCATATAACTTCATTGTAATTTCTATTTTCTTCAGCACTTGAATGAAGCATTCCGTCACATCAACAGCCTGTGTAACAGCTTTGTAGGAGCTCCCCACATGCAAGCTATGGTACGTCTCCTTGGTTACCAGGGTATCGCAGTTGTCATGGAGGAACTTTTGAAGGTGGTAAAGAGTCTGGTGAGTGTTAGACTATGTTCTCACACGGCAACAACGGTTAGCAGGATCCGGATCCTGCTAACCGTTAGCTGCCGTGCGTCCATGCGAGAAAATCCCGATCCGGATACCAACAATATGATCGAATCACTGGCCAATAAGAAACTGGAAATTGTAAACGCGTACATGTGATTGGTTGATGATAGAACCACCCTCAACTTGCTAACCGATAGCGCTTGTTAACCGTTAGCATATCCGGATACCGCTAACAGTTAGCGCTAACCGATCGGCCGTTCTCACGCAGGTGTTAACAGTTAGCACTAACAGTTAGCTCCTGATCCGGATACTAGGGCTCTCGTGAGAATCAGGCCATAATGAACTGGGAGTTTAAATAGGGATTTATAGGCGGCCGACACAATTCTATGAAGAACACAATGCGACGACGCTTGCACAATGGACCATTTTAACAATTACAATTGTGATAATAATTAATATTGATAAACTTACAATATTGAGTGTTTCCATTCATTGCAGCTTCAGGGAACCATTCTCCAGTACGTGAAGATTTTGATGGAAATCATGCCGAAGATTTGTAGGCTACCAAAATTTGCTTATGGGTGTCCAGGCAAGTGAGATTAGAGGTGTAAACGCAAGAATAGAGGTAGAAGTAGGAGAATAACCCATAACTAGCAGCGTCATTATGCTGAATTGCTTATGGGAGTTGTCCATGACTAGCTAGCCGGTATAAAAAGGCCCTTATAGTAGCTACATATTCACATTATTCTACGACGACAGTTGCTAAAATGAACCATAGCATCGGGGTAACCCTCTACTCTTCCAAAAGATACAATGGGTTTAAAGTGCACACAAGCAAGGTGTGTACACTGGACATGCATAAGTCCTTATCCGAGAAGACTTTGTTCTACCAACCGAACCCAGGGCGAGGAGCAGATTGAACCAGCGCCGATGTTAAAGCTGTAGTTAGCAGCACCCCTGCCTTACGGCTCGGCCACTTGATTCGCCCAAAAGAATGTAGACATAACAATACTTTTGTTGTATTTTAATTAAAGGTGTAATAAGCTACTATGCAGCTCAACTTCAAGACATTGTGCAGTACCCAGATGTGAGGACCAACCTCTTTCAAAGCTTCCGTGAGGTCGGAAACAGCATCCTGTTCTGTAAGCTGATTGAGCAGAATCTTGCCATTGAGGAAGTGTGTGATCTTCTGCATGCAGCACCTTTCCAGAACATCATCCCAAAACAGTACTTACAACGTAAATACTCCTAAATTTATTCCTTCTTTATTCATTCTTCATCCATGAGAGAGTTAATTATCAGTTACTTTTTCATCCATTTTTTGGATGAGACCTTAAGCCATTCTGCACGCTCTGTGCAAAGAAAATAATTTGATAACTATTCATAAAAGAAAGAAAAAAAAAACACTAAGAAATTGTCTTTTGGTGTATTCAATATGAAATATATAAATATAATTAAATTTTTGACCTGTGTGTCTGGATATGTTTTTATATTTCAGAGGGAGACAAACTTGAAGCAAAAGTGAAGAAACTTGAGCAGAAGTATGCACCAATGCAAGTTGTTAGTGTTATGGAGAAATATGGCACACAAGAAGTAAGAATCTTAACACTTTTATTTTCTTTGTAAACTCTATTATTTCTATCATCAATCAATTCCTGTTACATTGTTTTACTATCATTATAAAGAGAAAAACATGAGACATGCAAAAATATGATCATGATGACATCATGTCATGACCAAATATAGGCACTTTATGACTATATATGGGCATTCAACAGTTTTGTATCAAAGTGCAAACATTGCATCTTTCTGTTTTTCAGCAATTAATAAACTCAAAAGAAGGCGACCTTCTGACTAAAGAGCGGCTTTGTTGCGGTCTGACTCTGTTTGAAGTAGTACTGACGCGGATAAGAAGTTACTTAGATGATCCCATATGGCATGGTCCAACACCTGCGAATGGAGTCATGAATGTTGATGAGTGCAACGAATTCCACCGACTTTGGAGTGCTATTCAATTTGTTTACTGTCTTCCACTTGCCAAAGGTGAACTCACAACAGAGTAAGTATCACAATCCACTTTATACAGTCTGAACATCCCTATATAATTAATGGAACAGTCGACTCCTAGTATACTTCATAAGCTGCCCTTACAAAACCACATGACCTCATTCAGTCGTAGGTTGAACTCGATAATTGTGGCTTGGACACTCAACCTTCAGGCATTGATTCCAGCTAGGAATGGTGCTCTACTGGAAACTGAGGATGTGCATATAGGGGCACACTTTCTCTGATTTGGTTTCATGACACCAATTTCCTGTTAGATATCAACGTTAAAAGCAGTTTATATATATATATATATATATATATATATATAATGATATGGTGCTTTCTTTTGCTTTTTGTGTTGTGATTTTCCCGACTGTTTACCAAGCTGTTGCTTGTTTGTTTACAGAGAATGTTTTGGTGAGGGCTTGCATTGGGCAGGGTGTGCCTTGATTACTTTGTTGGGTCAACAAAGACGTTTTGAGGCTTTGGATTTCAGCTACCCTGTCTCTTATACACATCTAGATGTGTATAAGAGACAGCTCATACATCTATGGCTCAAAGGTAAGTCAACAACTTGAACTCTTGTATAATTAATTGTACATTAAAATAATGTTTCTTATTGTTACATTAGTGACTATATGATTCATTTCAGCATAAGATTGTACGCGGCGGATACCCTACGCGGTTTTATTTCCACGATCTTTTGTTACTTTTTTCGCCAGTGACGTCACGATTAAATCGTATATAATGACCTATAACTCCATAAGAAATTGCCAAAAAGCGATTTTAAGGTTGATTATATTATAAATGGCATATCAAAATTCCCCTCTAGAACAAAAAAATCATTTTGCTAGTTCTCTTTTAAAGTTTAAATCATAAACATATATTTTTAATAATAAATATATTTAGATTATAGAAACATAAATGTATTATATAGTAATTATGTCTAACTAGTTTAACACTCTATTCTTCTATTTCCAGTCAATTAGACGACTTGTTGACAGGATCAAGAAATTTCGTCTTCTCAATAACCAGGTGTTCTCTGTTCTCCATAAATTCCTGAAACCAGGAGATAGCGACAGTTTACCTGTCGAGCAAGTCAGGTGCTACCAGCCACCTGTTCATCAATCAGTCATTGACGGTACCAACTAGAATCAACCTCATTCATTAAACTGGCAAACATATTAAAACAAATGTGCCTACTTGTAAGAGACCAGTTTAAACTGGCTTAAATGAACTGGTTGCAATAAACCAGTTTAAGCTAGTTTGAACTGGCAAATGAACTGATTCCATATTGTTACTACAAAAAAAAACCAGTTGAAACTGGATTACCCTTCATAATTTTATAATGAACTTTAAAGTATCAAAAAAGCATGCGATACTTTTTTAAGGTATTGGGGAACAATTTCATGGTATTCCTTGCATTTCTAGATATTTTAATGACAATATTGCAAATTAAATTAAGAGGACCATTGTTAAAATTGATCCAAGCTATGTATCCTCTTTAAACATTGCAGGGAAAATGCAAACCAAGATATTTTAGCTGAGAATAGTACCCTTCCATACAGCAAACATTAGCTGTGTTTGATGTTTTAACTGTAAACATTCAGGATATTTAAGGACATTTAAATACTATGACATAAGGATTCCAATATTTTTTTAGAAAAATTGAACATGTTAATTTTACCAAGAATGTTTGGAGGTTAGATGGACATGTTTTCTTTTGTATATTTATTTTGATTCCAAATCAATTTTATTTTTAATTTCTTTATTTATACTTCTATACTTTGTACTAATTCAGAGTAGTTCATGTTCTGTTTTACTTTTAATTTAACAATTTTTGATATTTGTGTATATTAATTTAAATCACAGGTGATTGATAAGGGTTTCTGTATGCCTTTTATCTAGTCAGTGAAATAATATAAATAACAACAAATAGATTAGTTCCCTATACAGAATTTTGTAACAAGTTAACATTGGATTTTACCGTGATGTGTCATTTGCACACAATATTGTACAGTATATGGTATAAAGAAATGATTTAAATTTGTATATTTGCATTTTTGCCTTGTTTATATAATTATTTCTAGATGATAAAGCTAATTTTTGTGCTTATAATTAATAACTTATAATCTTGTTTTATTCTTTCGTATGTACATCTTTATACAAATTATGCACTTGGGTAAAATATTTACTGGTATTGTTGGCTATTGAAAATATACCGTCTGTAATGAATTATTGAAAATCGTCAAAAAATTAATTATATGAAAAAATTTTTTATATACTAAAAAGAAACATTGATATTAAAGATAATTGTTTGCTAATGTACAGACTTTATTACAAAAATCCTTTAAACCGATTTAATACCCGCCAATTTAAACATCCCTAAAAAAGAAAAGCTGTTATTGAGTCTATTGCTCTGTTGAGAGCAGAGGCACTGTTTATGCAAATAAGTAACTTCTGACCACCAGCTACCTTCAGGAATTTTGCAAACATATTGTAGCCTCAAAATACTATAAGTGTAGTGAAATAAATACTAAACGATTCAGGGTGATTTCTAGAAGGCTATTTTTTATAGAGGTAAACATGTAAACAAAAATGTGATGCATAATAGAAAACCTGGTTTGGCAAGGCCACCCAAATATCTATTACTATGTTGCATCTTGTCGTCTACTTAAAATACATAAAATTTTTAAATTGCTAAGTAATAGGACATTAAAATATATGGTATAATTATTAACAGCACCTTTAAGGGTCTACACAAAAGTTACTTAATAGATGCGGACATCTTTTTCTCATTTTAATTAACAGCCGATAACTTCATAATGTGCGCAGGGGTGGCACAGTTCGCTCAAAATCTCTTGAAAGTGATATGGCAATTTAGAGGTTTCCATAGGCTTATTTAATTGATTTAATAGTCTACCAAATTTGTAAAAAACTACAGAATGTTTTTCTCCCCTACAAATTGTTTTTATCCCTGATGGGGGTGCTTTCCATGATGGTGGGCCCCCTTACCCCTGCTACACAGCAATGCAAATAAAATTTGTTAGCAACATAGGCGGTATGTCTTTAATTTTTTGTAGTAAATTGTCCAAAATGAAAATTGGATACTATTTAACTCTTTATAATTTTTTGTTCCATTATTACGAGAATCATATTTCTATGTAGTATTTGTAAAAAAATGTTGGTAGTGTGTTTATATAATATGCCAAGGCTAATCGATTAAAGTGATCATATTGCATTTGTATGTCTAAAGACGATTTTAACCACCGAACAAAAACAATTTGACTAGTGAATGTGTAATTGTATCACTCGCATTTCAAAGCGCCCCTATGGTGTGGGAAGTTATTTAACAAATAGGGTTGATGTATCAATAGGAATAAGCCTTGGTGCAATTGTGAAATCTTTGCTTAATATATGGTGGTTATAACCAATACGGCTTGGTTTATATCAATGTTCAGACACGGATCCAGTAGGGGTGGAATTTTAAATTTTCAATGCATATCAAGGTTATGTATTGAAATAAGCACTACACGCTTATCTATTCTGAAAATGTTCCCCCCGCCCCGTTTCAAACATTCTAAATCTGATGTTGATCACACTACCTTATTAACAGGTTATTTAGGCGATGTATGTACATAGAATGAAGAAATACAATCACTACTTGTTTAATGTTTTCTTTTAGTCATTTTATGAATGTACAGTACCATTTTCTCAGTTCATACAATAAAAAGATTACATTTTATATGCATAAATTATAAATCAGCAAAAAAGTCATCACTCCTTGAGGATTTCAGGCGTTTTGTTTTGTCAGTCTTTTTGGCTTTTTGTTTCGTGCTCAAATTTATATCTTCTAGACTGGACACATTCCAGAATTTGATTTTTTGGTCATGTGAACAACTTGCTAAAAACACTCCATCTGATGAGACATCAATCGCCTCTACAGGGAACTCATCATGGTCACCGACTATTCCCATAAAACGATTTGGTAGAATATTCACCGCTCTATAGTAAAGAAATGAAGATACCGAAAATTATATTAGTATTCACAAAATAAGATAATACAATAATTTATAAATATTAATAATCATAATCATCAACTTTTTACTAAACACATAAAATGACTCAAGCTGATGTTACCTTATCATTCCATCAACAGATCCAGTGCAAATAATGTTCTCATTAATTTTCGCAGAGCAGTCTATGGATTCCGGGTGCCCGGGAAATCTGTCGCTGATATTGCCAAACTCATTCCAGTTGAAGATGCTAAGGGCACCATCACCTCCACCGCACACAACTTTTTTCCCTTTCTGAAAGAAAAAGATAACATCAAAACATGCTTGCATTCTTTTTCTTTTAAATAATACAAAATATTTTTTGGTTCTTTTATTCCCATCAAATAATAATGGTTTATATACTTTGATTATAGAAACCGTCATCAATTCATCCTCCATGTTTTCCGATTGTAGGTCGAATCGTCTTCTTCGGACATTGAATGCTGACAGTGTCCCATCACCACTGAAAGTATAATGAATTATATTTAAAAATCAGACAGATGGATATTTTACCTTGTTGCTAGGAATATGCGCTTTGCTTGTTGCTAGGACGACGCACTTAGCTGGGAGATATGTTTGTCTTGTTGCTATGAGGATGTGCTTACCTTGTTGCTAGGAGGATGCGCTTCTCACTGTCTGTTGCCATGTCACTGATATAATCCTCATTTTGTTTGAAGCTAATGATCGACTCTTTCTTCCGTGTGTCCCATATCTAAAATTGATAGGTGAACAACTACTTCAGTGTTTTAAAAATAGGCTGACATGAACGATTAAAAAGAGAACAGCAGACAGTGCACAAACTCGCATGCATTTTACAAGCCTAATGCACAGTGTAATACTCAGCTGCGTAAACCGAACTGTTCCAAAATCAATAAATAAAAAATTATATTTTTAAATTCTTGAATAACTTACCTGTATCACACCATTATCATCTCCAGTGGCAAGAGTCTTTTCATCAACAACTAATACACTATAGAGGGCGTTTTCATGAGCCTTTAGCATTTGATATTTAACAGCACCACTTTCAACATCAACGACCCTAATACTTTTGTCTTTTGATATAGTAAACAGTACTGAAAGAAAACAAAGAGCAAAAAACACTTCGCATTATTTACTATATCTTATTTTAGTACCTCAACCACCATGGGTTCACCCCTGGATGCCACTGGAAATTAGCCAGGCCCTCCCATCGGCCAAACAATGGCGTCGCTATTGCTGTCAAAAAGAAAGATGAATACATTTTTTAAATATCTGAGCAAAATTTAATGTATACTTACAATTCCCATCCTGTGAAAACGCCAATCCTCTGCAGGATTTTTTATGTGCATTTATTTGGAGTAATTCTTTAGGTTTACTTCTGCTTTCTTCCTCTTTAATAGAATATCTTTTTAAGAAGGATGACAAATTTGTAATTAATAAAATAATTAGGCTTCTTGTACTCATTTTAAGAAACTTACTTAATTCAATATACTGCACACATACACAGACTTAGCTCAATGTTCAACATAATATTGTATCTTAAAACTTTTTATAAAATAATAAAATAATTGAATGAATGAAAATTGTTAAAAAATATAGGTGAATAAAGAACTTGAAAAATATGTAGGCCCCGATATAGGCCTATTATGAAGATGATGGAGAGGGTTTATATTATAAATATAAATAAAAGTTCATGAAGATAACAAAAATTGTCGTAAATGAATGTGATAACAATGAAGATGATGATGATGAATATATACCATATTATGGTAATGAAGATAATAATTATGATTATGATAATGTGGAAGATTGTTAGTAATGAAGAGCATGGTGATGACAATGATGATGGGGATGGTATTGGACACTCACACTATTACAGTGCCATCAATATGAGCGGCAGCAAGTATGTTTTGTACGGGGTGGAACGATAGATCCAACACAAGGTCATGTGACTCAATAGCTTGGGGTACCACAGTACTTTCAATCTGTAATAAATAATTGAAATAATGCAATTTACAAGTACAGTACCTAAAAGAGAATCATTCAAGGGTCACTGCTCAACAGGCTGCATACACGGTGGAGGGGAGTTAATGATAAGTGAGGGTGCACTCCAGAGGTGACAGATAATCAGGCACACAAGACGATCAGGCCCAGAACGATCTGGCCCATTTCCAGACGACCGGGCCCAACTGGTGTAGATGATCAGCCAAGACAGAGTGTAGACTTTTGGGCCCACTTTCATTCTGATTTATTATTGCGTTCCAAATTTATTTAACATATAGGTATCTCAATACCTAATACAGTATTAAATGTTAAATATGTTATTCTTAAAAGAATCGTAATTAAAATAGTCATATAGGCCTATTTATTGATTTTATTTATTACTTCGGTACATCACCATCAACAAATACAAACAACAGTCATGGCATGGGCTGAAATGATTCTGTCTAAGATTCTGTCCCACGAGACGATCGGGCACAATTTGAAATTGGGCCCGATCTTTCTGAAAATATTATTTGATGCACGCTGAAAAGACTGTGAGTTGTGCAGATCCAATATCTGATATTCTATTATAATTTAGGCAAATGATGACCTGGTTTTTCTATTCTGTTATTTATCATTAAAAATTAAATAAATACAAATTATTGTGCCGCCTCTCATCAATAATATTGATGGTCACATCAGGCCTAATTAACTAAGATATACAAATAATAATATTAATGATAATAACAATAACTACTGGGGCTAGCCTTACGATGATCAGTTCCTGCCCCAGTTGTACAAGCCATGAAGAAACAGTTTCCACCCATGATAACAGCTTCCTGCCTATACTGAATCACTGAAAGAGAGGGTCTGACAAAACAACAGGCAAAAAACTTAACCTCTTCCTCCGGCGAACTTCCTTCATGATCCTCCTGTTCCTCTTCGTCTGATGATGACGACATAACAAAGAAGGTTTTAAATTATTATTATTTCGAATAATGAACTTCTAAATTGTAAAGCCAAGTTAGACCATAAACGTATGCCTAAACCCCTGGTTTTCTATTCATCAAAACATAAACAATCTACCTACACGTCCACGTGAATTATAATAAAAGCCCGCCCTCTAGCTGGTTTTGACGTAGCAACAAAGAATGCAACGTATAGTGCGCAACAAAATGGAAATGGCCTAGTATTTTTTTTTTTTTTGTATTATAATCAATAATAATAATAATAATAATAATTGATTTTTCTATAGCTCCCATGAAAGCCTCAATTAATGGAAACAGAAAATTAACAGAATTAATAATAATAATAATCAGTAATAGTAATAATAATAATAATAATAATAATAATAATAATAATAATAATAATAATAATAATAATTCCATACTTCTATAGCGCATTCCGCAAAAAGCCTCAATGCTCTTTACAAAAAGAAAACAAGCAGTAAATAAATTAATTAGATCGGACTAATACCTAACACATAATATAATAATAACGGAGGAGTTGAAGTATCCAATGGTGTCTCGCAATAATTCATTTATTGTTCATATAATATTCTTTTTTTTTTCTTTTTTTTTTAAATAATTTATATACTATGTATATGTTATTTTAAGGACTCGCCACACACTTGTAGTTGCAAGCGTGCCACTTACCATTCCAAATAAATTACCATTATCTAGGTTAGAATACTTCTACGATAGTCAACGGGTTTCTTCTTTTTTTTTTTTTTTTTTCTGGGGGTGGGGGAGGGCACACCGATAGGAAAAGAATAAGATGCCAGCTGTTAAATTATGCATATGAGTGTGGTTTTGCGATAATGCAAAACTTCGATGAGAAAACAAGAACAATACTCACCGATACCTCTTAAAAGGGTACCGCCTGCTGCTTCATGAACTTGGTGGCAAACAATTTAATCTATAGTCTATTGTACGTTTTTTGGTTCAACATAAAAGTAATAATTCTAATAAAATTTAATCTATTTCTCCTTTATACTGTATATTAATTGGGGAAAAAATATGGAAGAGCATCGTTTTTGGGGCCATTGTTCATAGCTGACTGTTACGCATAAACTCAACTCTCATCAGTAGGGCCTAAGTTGAAGAAGCTTTGAACTCGTGACGGATCCAGTAATTCGAAATAGAGAGGACCCATAAAGAAGGGACTTTTAAAGATGGAGGGGTTAAGATCAACGCCCCACCCATAGTTGGGCTGAGGTAGAGGTAGGAAGTTTTAGATGTATATATATATATATTTTTTTTTAGGCTTAGGCCTATGTCTTTCTAAATTAAAACAACTTCAGCTAAAATGGACAAAACCATATCGTAGGTTTTTTTTTTTTTTTTTTTTTTTTTTTTTTTTAAAAAAATTATCTAAACAACAAATTAATTTATTCTAAATATTTAAAAAAAAAAGGGGAAATAAAGAAAAAATTTTGCTTTCCCGTGCCGGGAATCGAACCCGGGCCGCGTGGGTGAAAACCACGAATCCTAACCACTAGACCACACGGGACTCGCTTGACAAAGTTTGTACACATAGGATAATAATCAATTACTTTAGAAGTATATTTTATATTATTCAATTTTACCATACTATATTTTATAGATAAAATTTAATATAAGCAGAAAACAGTATTCATTATGAACACAAATAAAAACTGTAACCATTTCCAAAACAACCGATAACTAAAATTTGACAATGATGAGTGGTCACCTGATCAAGCGGAAAGTAGTAGAAGGCTAGTCAGGTGACACTCTAATCATGAATAACAACATGGCCATGTATTTAGGTTTGTTTTGGGGAATTGTTGATATTGCTCTTTGTCAAGGTCATTTTAGTCGTAATCGGTTATATGTGAAAGCGTTTGAACGTGGTGATGAAGTATTTCCTGTGGTTGTAAATACATGGCCCTTCACAAATGCGACTAAAACCGGTAGGTAGGCCTGCCAAGTATATATAGTAGAGAGAGCCCTTACTTGCTAGGCCTAGTAGTAGAGTAGGCCTAGGCTATCTGTTTTGTTCAATTATTTGTCACTCACCATGTGGACTGGGCTATCTGCGTGTGTGTCAGTCAGGCAGACCTTGCCTAGACTTGGTTTAAATAAATAGATATAGAGTGGCTTGGCCCTCTCGGCCTGGTCCGATTGGAGAGTAATGCACCTCACAAAGTCATAGTATTGTCAATCAATGAAATAGATAAAATAACATTATATTACTTTCAGCTTGGAATGTACTAAATAATGGAGGATCAGCATTGGATGCGGTGGAACAAGGTTGTAAACAGTGCGAGATTGATCAATGTGATGGAACCGTTGGGTTTGGAGGCAGTCCTGATGAGAACGGTGAAACGACGTTGGATGCCATGATCATGGATGGGTTAGTTTGACTAGGCAGGGAAAAACTTACAGCGCTTTGTAAATTAATAGTTTCTTGTCCCCTTCTTGCCCATCCATTTTCTCTGCCCCACCAACAATTTTTTTTTTTTTTTTTGTTGGTTGGGGATCATAATGGTATGATTATGAAGGTACGGTATGAATCATGTCTACTGCTTATTTTCTTTGCTTTCAATGTGTCTAACTTGGTTAAAAGTGAGGAAGTTGTAGCTTTTTCCCATCCACCATCTTGGATAAAAAAAATAATATAAAAGTGCCCTCATTCTCCTTTTTTAAAAATATGAGGACAAAAAACTAATTTTTTTTTCTTTTACTTGGTCTTAATTTCTTGTTATTGGTAGCGTAACCCATGACGTTGGTTCCGTGGCAGACTTGAGACGGATTAAGGACGCTATTTCAGTCGCTAGAAGTGTTATGGAGCATTCATCACATACATTGATAGCTGGCGAATCAGGTACAAAAAGCATCTTTTTGGTTTGTTAAACTTTGTTTAACTTTATCGTAAACAGTTTTTCTGACTGTTGATTAGCATCATCTGTGTGTGTGTTGCTTGATGTTATAGCTACCTACTTTAGTCTGTTTTTTTACTTTTGCAACTTAAAATTATATTTTGTAATTTTAGCAACAAATTATGCAATTGAGATGGGATTTAAGGAAGAAAGTTTATCAACTAATCATTCAAAGTAAGTAATTTTCTACATTTTACCTTCATTTTTTTTTTTATTCCAATGGTGGCTCTTAAGAAGGGACTATTTAGGATCATAAACTTTAATTAAATAATCAGTAATTCCACACGTTTTACACATTCATAAATGTGTGTTTTCTAATTTTAAATCATTATCTCATTTAGTCTCTGAGGTTAACTTCCTTTCTCAATAAGATCTACGGTACTAATTTCCTAATATGTCACATTCACTTGTGGACTTGCATTAAGTCAGATGTTATAGTTGAAAATGCATTGATATGCAATGATTTTCATTCCATTCATTAATTTTATTCCATTACTTTAAATTATTTTCAGAAAAATATGGGAGGACTGGAAGAACAAAAATTGCCAACCTAATTATCGAAGAGTAAGTTGAAAGGAATGCATGAAAATTTAAACATCCAGAGCATCACGTCTTGCGTTTGGCTGTATTAGTCAATGTGACTACCATCCTGAAATTGCTATTGTGTGATTGGATGCTGTTTAGTCCCATGACATGTGTTTTTACAATTCTATCTTTTAGAATGTGTCACCAGATGCAAACAAGTCATGTGGTCCATATAAACCAACCAAATCACTCCGTGCTGCTACACACAAGAATAAGGAACCTAGATTCAGTAAGGATATCTCAATCACGAACCATGATACCATTGGTATGGTTGTGGTAGATGGTAACGGTAACCTTGCTGGTGGTACATCAACGAATGGTGCTAATCATAAAGTGCCAGGGTATGTCTTTGATTCAATCCTTGGATGTTAATAATAATGATGAAGATGATAATAAAAATGATAAAGACTTAATAGTTTTTATACTTCTGAACCACAAACACTAAATCTCTGTGCACTTTTTTTTGTTTTGAAGTCGTGTAGGTGACTCGCCAATAGCTGGCGCTGGTGCTTATGTTGACAACGACGTTGGGGGAGCTGCAGCTACTGGTGACGGAGATGTAATGATGCGATTCTTACCAAGGTATGTCAAGTATACATAATGAAATTTAGTAGATTCAAAAAATTATTATTACTGTATGTATTATTTCCAAATTATTATTATTATATTCATTATTATTATTATGAATATATAGGACTAACTCTAAATTTTTGTTTTGATATCTAGTTACCAAGCAGTGGAGAGTATGCGACAAGGCATGGACCCTACATCAGCTGCACAGGATGCAATCAAAAGGATAATCAGATTTTACCCACAATTCAGTGGTGCTTTAGTGGCAATTACTAAATCGGGATCATATGGTATTTATAAACAATAAATTCTATTATTGAAATGTAACTAATATTTTTGCAGATTTTTTTTTGTACAGATTGGTTGCCAATTGACTTTTAACCTTTTACCTACTTTCAGGTGCAGCTTGTCATGGATTTGGAACGTTCCATTACTCTGTTCGTAACAGAAATATGCAAAATGTTACCGTAGAAGAAGTGCCATGTATGACATTATAACAGAGGTTTATGTGATGGTTGTATGATGAAGTTGTCAAGCAAGCTATTTACAAATTCTTCACAGGGTTTTTAGGAATAATGAAAGTGATACTAGGTTTGGTCAACAGGATTTTGTGCTTCTATCAGGTCGTTATATTTGTAAGAAGGCGTCAATGAAACTTCTTACACCAAGTGCCGGAAACTGGGAACTGGGAAACAGGATTGACAATTTTTCTGATATGGGGGAGTTAAAATATTTTGCATACATATTTATTTGTAGAAGTCATGGTGTACATGAATATGTAATGGACGATGTGAAAGATTTTAATGGACAAGAACAAATTTCTTCTTAATGGAAATGAAATTTTCTATAATCAATAGAAAAAACACTGTATTGTTGATTAGGCGGTGGTAGACTGAGATCCAGTTTAAAGCAAAGAATTAATAATAATAATAATAATAATATACTTTATTTTTATACGGATACACTTGATTCACCCAATGGTGTTTTTCGTCAAGGCCGTGCAAGGCCATATGCAATGTAACAAAATATAAGGAAAATGAAAATGTAAACAACAAAATGAAAACCACATTTAAATAAAAGGTTAAAAAACAGAGTAAATAATAATAATTATAATATAAGGAAAAAAAGTGCTACAGACAAAATTAATCCTCAGGTGATTAAAGTTCGGGTGATTAAATTCAGACTGTTAACTCCATTAAGTGATGGTTTTCGTCTAAATACCAGAATATAACATCTTTAGTAATTTTATCAATCTATAAAAAAATTTCTATTTTATTTTCAAGTCAGTAAGACTAATGTTGGTCTGGCAAGTACTTAATATACTTTCATTATTGTTAAAGATACAATTGGCTATAGAGATATAGTGCATTAACATGTTCACCATGTTTAAAAAGTAAAGAAACAAAATAAAAAAACAAAAAAAAACAAAAAAAAACTATGAAGTAGTTACAGTTATTTGACTCGTTTGATGCTGCATGTCATATGAAAGAAGAGCATGTCCACTCCCAGTTGTTGACAGGGGAGGATGTCAATAAATATACAGTTTGCTCTCCAATTAAAGAATACCTTTTGAACCTGAAACTTGTAGTCGTCTTTGAGTTCAACAAATAACAAATTGTTATTTAGTGCTTAGAAAAGGTGTCCGACTGTAGTAAAATTTGTAAAAAACACACAAAATTCAATATAGTAGATAAACGTTTATTGTTGATCAAATAAGTTAGTAACTTCGAATGAAATGTATCCAAATTGTGCTAACTTACACACATTAAAAAAAGAATATAGGAACAGTATTACAGTATATCGTACACGTCAGATAATTTTCTTTCCATCTCTATCAGAAATAACTGACTAAAAAATCTTTTGTACTTTGCTTAGCAGTTTAATGATGAATAAGTTTATATGGAATATGAAAAATATCTATCCATTCATCTATTTATCCATCCATCCATCCATCTTTCCATTCTTCCATCGATCCATCCATCTATCCATCAATTCATAGGTAGGTACATCCATCCATCTATCCTTGTATGCATCTATAGATGCCCAATAAGATAATATAATAACATCTTTTACCCTCGACCCTTCGCATATGATGTTTAACTGCCATTTCTAACATCTGGCGATGACGATAATAAATGGCTTCCGTATGTCTACTCCGTTTTTAGATTCTAGACATAATCAAAGAGATGAGAGATTTAAGAATTCTTTGATTAAAAACTTGAGGTTGATGAGAGTAAAACGCCCTCCTGCGTGGTAAAATAATACGTCACGTTGTCGCTATGATTGAAGTTACGTTACTTCCTTTCATTCCTTTTGGCCTTGTTTCTTTGGTACCTTTTTCCTCTGCATGTATAGCTAAGACAAGAAAAAAAAAACAGTCATAAATTACCTTTTTTCTGGTGATAACACTGTGTTCTCTGTTATTAGATATTCTGCAATATTTTGTAATTGTAGACCTTTTCCCTGTTATTTTAAGATGAAATTAATGAAATGGAATATATATAAATTGTTTAATGATTTCCCCCCCCCCCCATTTTTTTTGTAGTACGATTTAAATTTACATAAATAGTTTCATTAAAATTATTTTTTATGACGATGATAGTGTTGATCTTGATGTTTATGAGATGATATTCGACTTATTATATTGATGAAAAATTGATTTCTTTTTAGTAGTGCGATTTAAATCTGCAATAGCCCTGCAGTAGCTTCATTCAAATTATTTTTTATGATGATGTTTATAGGTGTAATTTTGCCCTACCTGACGTGAAAATGTACTGAATACTCAGTACGTTTGAAAACAATTGCGAAAAAAATCGCAAGTTCTTCTCTGGTGGGACTCGAACCCACGATCTCCAGATCACTAGCCTGGCATCATACCTTTAGACGACCGAGCTTGCGCCTGATGGCCAGGGTTGAACTCGAGTCCAAGTAAGCAGCGGGTACTGCAGTGTTGATAGTAATTGTTATTGTCGTGATGGAATAGACAATAACTGGATTTGCGTCAGGAGAAACATATAGGTGTAATTTTTCCCTACCTGACGTGGAAATGTACTGAATACTTTAAAAACAATTGCGAAAAAAGATGATGTTGATGTTTATGATGGTGATGAGATAATATTAGACTTAATGTTATTATTATTGAGAATTGAAATAGTGTCAGGAGCACACATTTGTAAAGCAAACGTCTTATGTTGCATTCCAAATTAAAATTCATTTTTTTTTTCAAATACACTTCCAAGAAGAACATCAAAAATACAAATATATGGTACCGTAAAAGAAGAAAAATACCTTTCTGGATATGGTAAAAATAGAGATTCATTGATTTTATTATTATCCTTACTGTATTCATACATACTTTGTTGATTCGGAAGTGTGTTTTTCTCTGCCGTCGTCACCTTCTTCAGATCGTTAATGTTGAACCATTTCATTTCGTGCAAGACACAGTCTTTTATGCTGGGTCCGCCTGGCTGTGGGTATACTCGGAAGGCTTCCGGTTGAAATGGCCTACAGTTCGCAAAACAATTACAGTAATTTTCGTCATTGTCGTACAATAATGCGCATAACCTCTATAGGCCTAATCAGCAAATGCTGTAGAATGTTCTGTATTATTTTGTTGTTAAGTGTCTTATCACACTTTTTAAATCGTTAGGGCTACTTCAAAAATCCTGGTGGTTTGAGACCGGGTTTTTACACAAAAGTCATGACAAATCATAATTATGAAGCATGACTTATATATTATACCAGTAATGATAATTGTGCCGATGATAGTGACAGAAATTTACATGTTTGTATTTCCGCTTTTCAAATTGCCAAAGGGAACAGTACAGAAAACAACAATAGACCTACTAAAAACAGTGAGGTTGACATACTGAATGGGGTAACGATGAAACTCTGAATGAACGCAAGAACTATTATTCCACAGAGGCCTCAATACAACGTACGTTAAAAGTAAATATATCAAGATTTAAAAAATATAGGCACTTTATAAACTTCTTCAAGTTTGAATTTAAAAGGGTGTTTATTTATTTATGTATTTATTTTGTTCATTGATTGCCGATAAGTGATGTAAATTTGAATACAAACAAGCACATGGAAACCGGAAATGCCGAGTAAAAACTAAGTAGACATGAGCATAGTAATTAATAAGAATGTAGACTTAGAAGTAGAACAGGTCGGAAAAACGAGGCCCTTAACGCATTCCAGCGTTTAATGTTATTCAGTTCATATTTATAACGAACAATATAAGTTGTCATGTTGCTATGGTTTTGGTATTTCCGCTCTGGTTGTCATGGTGTTAAATATATTTATTCTATTCATCTAGCCAACTCGCTTAAGTATTGTTGATTCATTAACCACGACACGATCAGTTTTTTTTTTGTGTGGTTAGAATTAAATGTTGGTTAAGCCATCAAGTATAAACACGCAGAATATAAGCTGCAACGGTGTATTGGGTTAATTTTATTAGAATTTAAGACAACACAAACTTGATGAAAAAATTAACATTAGACAGAAACATAGACAAAATTCTTGTACGGTAAACCCTTAAATCTACGTACTGTTTGTGACGTTTCGTTTCGTATTAGACATATCTGAATCAGGATGTTATTGGGACTTTGGCTAAAAATAGGTTTAAAACTAAATGAAATATTGAAGTGAACTTGAATTTTTTGACCCGGTAACTACCAGTACATCGATTTTATAATTATTAATTGTCATGTGACTCCCCGAACAATTATATGTTAAATTTTACAGGTTGCCATGCTTACAGGCTGATTCTGTGTGTGTTTTTAATTTGTGCTTATGTCAAAATATAAAATTCCTGTATGAGTATAGCGAAAGTATTGTTTTACTGGTAATTTGATGGTTGGGAACACGCTGAGTAGCCTACCTGATATTATGGTATGCAGGCCATTTGCACTGCACTGACTAGGCCAATTTATTGCAGACGGTATTCTTTATGGAGGTATTTAACAATTTATTATTTAATATTATAACTGCAACTTTACCTGCAGAGAGTGTTAGTCCATCCCTGCCTATTCGTCTTCATAATCCATCTGCGTCCATTTATATTCACACCTTGCTTCTTTAAATATTCTCCTCTTTCGTCAACTGCTTCCGATGTCGCTACATATTTATATGGCCGCATTTCTTGTGTTGCTATATTTGTCATGTCGACGGTCTGAATAATCACCAAGCAATAATTATGTTATGATTTCTCTCTCCCCATCGAACGCAAGGCCTTGTTGTGCGATGTTAATACATGCGTTTGTTCGTCGTGGCGGTTTGCAATCTAAACATCATTATGATTATTGGATGTAGGATAATATACTGCTGTGAAGGGAGGCTGTGTACAATACGAGAGACGCGTATGTATACAGAACCATGGTGTCATGCATATCACAGCATTGCTAAGCCATCCATGTAATTGCTTTTCTTGCCATTTCCGATTCTTGTAAAAACAATGTGCGGCCTATGTTTAAATTATAGTCACAATTAAGGTAAATCACATTAACGCATTATTTGGTTATTAAGTATATTTAATTTAATGTGGTAGCGATAATGTCCAATGATTAATTTTGTCGCATACGCATAACGTATTTTGCTCAATTCCAATAGTCTGGTAAACTGCATTTTATATAGGCCTATTTTTATAGGGTATGGTATTTTCGTGTGAATTTAAAGCAATTTTTACTGCGTTTGGACAATAGATAACATTGAATTGAATTCAGATCCCTATGCTGGCACCGCCATTATGTATTGCGCTGCAATTATAAAAGAACCACGTGACCTCGTTGCTTAGTAATGAAATCAAAAGTTTGTGAAAATAAGGAAATTACGTTGCTATGGGAATAATTAGCATCATGTGTAGGCCTAATGGTTTGAATTAAAGGTCTCCATTACACATTTCATGACCCGAAATTTAATAATATGAAACTTGTTATTTTGAAAAAAATCTCTTTAATATATTTTTTTTTTCAGTTAGAAGTATCAACTTATTTTTTTTTTTTTCTATTTTGAAAATATGACGGCAAGCTTGACATCTGACCTTAGGATATTTACGTTTCAAAACTTACCAAAAAAAAAAAAAAATGATTTATTGACTTGTGTATTGGTAAAACCATAATTTTTTTTCAGAAATAGGTATAAATGTTTTATACTTTACGACCCCTGTGGGTCGATACACATGTAAACCAAACCATCTCTTTATTTTAACGAGGGAAAACCCTAAAACCAATAACTATCTCTTGATGGTAAAGATTGAGGATTTTTATCATGACCTATCTTAAAAAAAGTTTTATAGAGCGTTGTCCCACTCTGTACTTGGTGATGTGCGCTCTCTATTGATGAAAGAAATAATATCAGGCATAAACAGTCGGTAAAAGTCAAACAATATTTTTTTTTCATTATTAGGCCTAATTATTATAATACATAACATGAAAATTCAGTTTTAT